CCCCGCCCCGCCCCAGCAGCAGCCGTCTGCACGCCTAGACCCCCAGACACGACGCCGCGGGTGGAATATCAATGAAATCCTGCGAATCCTCCGCCTCCCCTTGCCACCAGCGAACCCCACCAGGACATCCCAACAACGTCCGAACTGTGTGGATGTCCAAACTGTGTGGACTCGCAATACTTTTTGTAGAAAAACAAAACATCACCAAACATGCAGACTTTGCCGATGTATCCACGATTCTGCCCCCTCCCCCCCCCAAAACCCTATCACACACAGGACACAGCACGCTCCCCGGCTAACCCCCGGCTTCCCCCCTCCCCACGCCACGCCGCCGCAACCACCCCGTGCCACCCTCTCCCCCAAACCAAGCGCCACGTCTGCCCAAAAAAAGCCCGCCGCAGCCGGGACTCGACCCCGGGACCCCACCTGCAGGTCCATCATGAACTCCGCGACCTTGCCCGCCTGCACCACCCCCAGCGGCGACAGCGCCTCGTCGCTGCTGCCCAACAGGACGCCGTCCGCGGACCCCTCGGTCGCCGCGTGCCGCACGATCACGACGCGCGACGTGGCGATCCGCCCGGCGCCGTCCGCCTTGAACGGCGGGCCGGGGCTCTTTGGGAGGTTTGGGGGTTTCGGGGCGGTCGCGCGGAGGGCGTGTTGGCGGAGGGGATGGGGGTGGGCGCGGGTGGCGACATGGGCGGCGCTCGAGGGCGCTCGCGCCTGATGAATCCGATGTGGCTCCCATTCACGGGTTTCGCAGGGGGGCAAGAGGCGCCGCGCACCTGGTTCGGCTGCGCATCGACCGCCTAGGCTGCCCTGCGCTGGACGCACAAGATGCACACCTCTCCCGCTCTCACTCATACCCAAAGTCTCATCCACGCGCCACACGACCGGCAAAGCGCCAAGCACCAGGCGCCAATCACCTGGTTCAGCCGGTCCACCGTCACCCTGACCGGCGCCCCCTGGCTCTGGGGCGGCTCAAAGTCCAGGACGCTGGTCGCGCCGTTGGACTGCAGCAGGCGGCGGAAGAAGCGCGGCGGCAGTCCGAGGGCCGTGCCGAGGAGGGCCTGT